GGGGGGGAGCGCGTGCGGCCACACTCCGTATTGATCCCGCCCTCGCTCACTCTGCCACTGCGCACGACAGAAGTTAGTGGACTACAACACAGACATTAGACGTTACAGATGGGCCTGCTCTGCTCTGCTCACGTTGGGGAACAGTGTTGTGGGGCACGTGCTGAGTGAAACATGCGGAGCGATAGATGAGTTGCCTTCTTGCTGTGTGTTTTGTGTGAGGTGTTTTTATGTTTATATAAATTCGAGTGTGGGACTACAAGTGATTTGAGTTTCTTTCAATTAAAAAGTGTACAGTGTTACACGTAAGTTTTCTTTCACACTTTCTGTTGGATTATAATATCGGTTTGAGTGTGAGTATGAGGCGATAAAAAGAGAGATAGAAACAAGGAGAACGATGATGACGAACAACAACAACAACAACAACAACAACCACAACAACAGCAGCAACAACAACTACAACAACAACAACATGATCAGTAACTTTAACGGTAGGATTACAAACAATGTCAACAATATTGACCAAAAAAGTGTTAATTCAATGACGAAAACAACACTGCCATCTTAATAACAGCAACAACGAAGACGATAACAGCAACATCAACAGCCACAACATCCATAATAACAACAACAGCATCCTCAGCAACTGAAGCAGTAGGATCACGAACAATACCAACAACTGTGAAAAAACTAACTTGTAATGCAATGCAAGAACAGATTACTATCAATTTCTGTACATCACATCTCTACGAGTCTATCTCCCTAACAACAAGGACAACACTGACAAAAATAAAGACAACAACAACAAAAATAACAACAAAGCTGGTGATAAAGTTGAGTACACATTTTACTGACTCCATTAAAACTAAAGGGATACCACCACAACCACAGCGACAACAAAAACAACAAACGCAGGTGATAAGGTTGATCACACATTTTACTGACATAATTAAAGAGCTAGACTAGATCGAAAGGGACCCCAGAAAATTTCCTCCGTCTTACTATGTCTGTTCCTATAGAATCTCGTATTCAAAGTATTATACTTGAGCACAAAATTAGAGGTTTATCTGGAAAAATGCTGGGTTTTTTTTTTAAACGAAGGTTAAGTTTTTACCCATTAAATGTTCAGTTATAACCAAACAAATATAATGTACACCAATGATACCAAACTTCTCCTGTAAGTAGGGCACTCTTCTTGCGCTCATATTTGACCTTAATGCAGTTGCGAGCACCGTTAAACCTCAACAAAAACTAAACAAAAAATGTATGGAAAGCCCTGAAATCTGGTTTAGCCCGCTTGTTCAAGTCTTAAAAGTGACCATGTTTTCAGTTTCTGTAGAACCATGAAAAAAACGGTATCATTGATTGCAACAAGAACAATCAACAACAACAACAACAATAAAACAATATATAATACTAATACATGTGTGATTCCTAAGATAATATTGTAACACTTTACACTGTAATAAATTGCTATTTGTGGGTGGTTGGTGGGTGATCTGGTGTGGTTTGCTCCTTCTGTCCTACTAAACATCTATCGTCCTTATAATCTCTCCTGCTTCTTCCTTCTGTGTATGTTACTGTCTTGTAATAACATCTATTCTTCGGCACTTATACGACCTTACTGTTTTGCAAGTGCCGTGAAACTCTTACTACTACTACTAATAAACTTACACTAAATTGCTATTTCTTTTTCTGTTTCTCCTCGCAGATATTGCATGGGCCTCAAAAGGATACATTCTTTGCTTGACTTCATACGTAAAGGTGAGTGACGTGAATGTTTGCGGCTCTGTTTGTCGTCACACATTTTCTGTACTGTGTTGTCAGTCTTTCTTATTGTTAGTGTGTTAGACTTTGTTATTGCCACATTAATGTGTAAGTCTTTGTTATTGTTGGTGTGTTAGTCTTTGTTATATTGTTAGTATGTTAGGCTTTGTTATTGTTAGATAAGTGTGTTAATCTTTGTTGAATGTGAGTGGTTGGCGGGTGCTCTGGTGTGGTTTGCTCCTTCCTTCCTATAAAAAAAATCTATCGTCTCTATCTCCCCTCCTTCTTTTTTATGTTTTTTACTCTCTTGTAACACCTCTAATCTTCGTACTTATACTTTTATTGTGTTGCAAGTGCGGTAAAACACTTACTAAAACTGAACTAATATTTGTTATTGTTAGTGTGTTAGTCTTTGTTATTATTAATGTGTTAGTCTTTGTTATTCCTAGTGAGTTTTCTCAGTTGCTTCTCGACCTGTCTCGACCATTTGATGTGTATTCGAGAGATGTCATCTGTATTGATGTTGTCTATGTATGGGCCTTGGTTTATCTGTGTGCCTCTTTGTCCGTCTCTGTGTGTATGTCTATCATGTATCGCCCATCTGTTTGTCTGCACATCTGTCTCTGCCCCC